CAAAGGGCCATCGAAGCAAAAAATTGAAGATCCTACCGGCCGTGAACGAGTGTTTTTCAACTCTTCGGGTATTTCTCTTTTATTTGACCTGATGGTTCCTACTATTGTTAGGTTGTATGGAGTCTGGAGCAAGTTTTTAGCTAATGGGACCGACGTAAACCAGTTGTCGCATGTAACATTTCTGTTTGTTCCGTGTACTGTTTTAGTCAACTCTTTGACGTAAAACTCGCCTAATGGTAGACCATTCGTTTTCGTACTTCTACCAAGGTAAGGTATGGCATCTATCATGTACTTTGTTGAAGCGTCACACATCATGGGGAATTTTATCCCATATTTATCGGGTTTATTGGGTATGTACATGCGAAATGGACAACGGCCGCGGAAACCTAACAATTGCTCATCTACAGTCAAGTTACTGCCAGGTACGTAGTTCAATCTGCATTGATTGATAAAAATCTCCCAAATGTTTCTCACCGGTACAAAAGCATCATCGCTACGAAGAGTTGGCCGCAGTGATTTATCGTCCATTCTCAAACATCTAAGAAGAAATTCAAATCTCTCTCTGCTCATTACCGATACATACCGGGTGGGTGCCAGAGAATGAAGCGTCAAACAACTCATCAGTTGAGAGGTGGTTATCTTTCATAACAGCCGTCAGAGTGGGTATTCCAATTAACGCCCAGACCTCCATTGCATTTGTATCCCTGTAGCTTGCCGAAATTTCTTTCAAATTTTGTCGTTTTATTATCATCTCCACGTTTGTCCACTTGACTATTTCATCAACTATCTCGTCCGTTATAAAAAGTTGAAAACAGAGCAAAGGGTCAAAAACATTGCGACACATTCGCGTTGGTCCTCTATTTGTACGTATAATATTGATAGCAGAAGTCCTTCCCGTCGTACGTCCCTTTGTAGTGGACCATACATGGTTATTTTTGCCACGTAATGACCGCTGAGGCAATGTAATAATTCTATGTGAAGTAGATGAAGTTACCTCAAGATTAGTCGATTCCAGAGAAGCAACATGGTTTTCGGGATCGTCTTGCCTGCTTGTAGGGCTTGTATCCTCAATGAAGTCGACCATCGCGTCTTCGTTATCACTTCTGACATCATCTTCAACTAAACAATCTTCTTGCTCGGAGTCCGAATCCAACGGAGAATAATCGTCATCATTTTCTAACATTGAAGCTATTTCGTCCTGGTTTAGATGTTGGCGGGACCCCATCTTGTATTCAACCTAAAATTAACTAAATTATGAGTAATGTGCCTAAACAAAACAATAAACTCAAATAAATCACTACAATAAAAAATAGGAAACCATTACAAAAGTTACACAAAGCCCAATTATACGTCGAAATGACGTGCAACATCGTCATTCCAACAAAATGGCGGAACTTACCAAGATGGCGCAACCGTGTCCTGCGAGGTCTTGACCAAAGAGTAGTATTATATTAGGGGAAAGAGAACACTCTTTTGGAAATTTTATGCCAACTCTTTGAAAGCAGCGCCTCTAGCGCCCTGATCCCGAACTAATTCTTTATGTGTGCGTGCGTGTGTATGTTTGTGTACGTATAAGAGTGTATACTATTTATACCTATTACTTTTACTGTTTTGATCTATTAGATTTTAGCATCATTGCTTTGTATTGTTTTTATGACCACGAAATAATCATAATAAAAGAAATACAAACTATAACAATTTGCTAAAATCTAATGCATAATTGTTCATATTTCAATAAATAGAACACCAAAAAATATATTTATAAAAACCACAACGATTTGAAATTAGTATTTTATTGTTGTAAAATATATGTACATTTAAAATTGATTGACAGACCATATGATAATAGATATTATAATCAGACAAAACTTCGAAGTACATAGTTAAACATTCATATTTAAATAAACTAAAGTACCTTCCTGATTAATTGTTATTGGTTAACGATATATCCTTACTTATAAATAATGGAAATATTAGAACTATATTTAATATAAATAATTGAATGCTTAACAACACTTCACAGTTTTATAAATTTGTATAATCAGTTAAAGTATCTTTCAATAGAATCCGACAATTTACAAACAAGTATGACTTACGCACTTTGTTTAATTTCCTAGGAAAGAGAATTATTATGAATTCTAATTGCTATTTTTGTAACTTCCTTTAAACCGATATATTTAATTGCTATGTTTACTAAATTGTCGAGTCTTATTAAAAGATACCTTACAGGTATACATCATTTTCTATTTTTCAAATGTTTAAATTTATTATAATAATTTTGGGCAGATTGTTTAACTTCGTCTTCACCATGATATGTTAATTTACCTGCTAAAATTCTATTGACTGATCTAGTCCAACTGTACAAAATGACGTTTATTGATGTATTTAGAAAATATTCCTTCAACTCATTTTTATGGGCCATACAATCAAAAGGGCAATTTAACAGTAAATCTTGATATAACAAGATCGACTGTTTAACATGTTTTTTTGGCACATCTTTTTTTAATACAGAAACTGTTACATTGTGAATTGCCTTAAAATAGTTTTCTAATGGTTTACTGGGGTAACAGAGCCACTTCTTATTATTATACTCTTTAATTCTTATGAAATCATTATTTTCATTTACATTATTTTCTAACAAAGTTAAGTCTGCAATTCTTACAATTTTTTGTTACATTTTGCAAGCATTTTTTTATTACCCAGCCACAAACATAATTATTTTGACCAGCATCATCGATATGTTGCTCTAAGCAAATTTCTTTTTCAAAATTAACTTGAAATTCTTCAGGAGCTTCAGGAGTAATAATATTTTTTTCTTTAAAAAAGAAGTCTAAGTTTTGTAGGCATTCATTTGAATCCTCCTCACAATTGGCTCGTCGTGAGTGAGGAGAATTCATGTTTGTCACCATTAACGCTTTGAAGGCACCCTCAAAACAAACTGTATTTGGGGCAATATTTCTTGCCCCATAACTCCTGATACTCCCGAAGAAATTTTCTACAGGGTCTTGATTGAAGTTTCTTGTGAGAACAGCATCCATTTTATATTTTCTACTTAACATTTTCCAAAGTGACTCCATACCTTCAATTGTTTTAATAAGATTTTTGACAGATGGGACTATATGTTCAGTCAATTGATAATTATTTTGATTCTTACACGGTTTAACAAATCTAACAGTTTTTAAAATTTTCTTTGCTTTTTGCCATAACTCATGGTGAGGAGAGTTAAATTTCACAGGCCCTTTAAACACTTTACCGTTAGGTACATCCAGGGTACTACTGTTAAATGAGTCGAAAATTTTATCTACTAATAAAGTAATATCAATTAGCTGGCAGCATTCCATAGGTAACTCGCCTCTCGCTGACAAATGCTTTGTTACAACAGCAACACTATGGCTAAATAATTGAGTTGCCAATTTGACACGCATTTTATTTATTTTTTCTTTGTTGATGTGCTCTTCATTTAATTTGTTAAGAAGTCTCAACTCTCCTTGGGCTTTGTCAGCCTCATATACCATTTGGAAGTATTCCCATTTAACAATATTTTTTTTACCATCAACTTCATAAATTAAATCTTTATTGAGTAAATTGTTCCGGATTCCCTTTATTAAATGAGGTGGATCGTATAAAGGAATTATTTTGTATCCTTTTACCTCAAAGAAATCTTCCTGACATTCTTTCCCTTTGCGCAAACATTTTGCTTTACTTATCTGCACCAAATCTGCAATCGCTCCAACATTGACTGCACTTTGATCACAAACTGTAGCAACAACAATTAGGCCAGTCTTCAGAACCTCTTCTGTTACAGTTCCAATCAAGTCTTTTAACTCGTGTTTTTGAAGTCCATTGGTAAAGTAATATGCTACAGGCTGTTTAAAATGTCGTCTAATTCCTTTCACCATAAATACCAGGACGTGATCAGCAAACGCCGATTTTTTATTATAAGCGAATCCAGTAAATTGATCACTAGCAGCGTTGTAAAAAATTTGGGGCGTTATTGACATCTCGTCAAATATTAATGTACACAGACGTTGGGATATGTCTTGATCGCGTAACCCATGCTTAATTTTATCAAATATTATATTATTTATGCCTTCACCAACTTTTATTTCGGCCAATAAGCGAGTCATTGCTCTACTGGATGGCAAGGTAAAATATTTTGCTAACATTCGGTAGCATTTGGGGCTCTTTTTAAAAAGCGATAAACATAAAATTTTTTCGTCTATCGAAAAACGTCTCCCTTTTGGTGACTTCTTTATTTCTTTTTGCATTTTAATAAATAACTTTGCAGGCTTTTTCATATCTTTCGTTAGATGCTGAAATGCTGCATCATCTGATAACCGCTGTGCCTCAGCTAGTCGTTGCCTCAGTGTGGCAGATTTTTTTCGAAGGCGACGTACTTCCGATTGAAGCATCTTAGCTTTCAATTGATATGCCTTAACTACGCCACCTTTCGAGACACCTACAAAAAATAATATTAATTAATTAATTATAGTGTTATTTCAGTGTGAAATAAAATCCGTGCTATTAAAACAGTCCCTAATACTTTTAAAGATACTATTTACATTCTTTCTTTATTTTCTCCATCAGTTTTCATAAAAACTCACTAAATTGCTATTGCGAACAATGGAGGTAACACTAATGTCTAGAACTGAGTAAATCTACAAAAGTTTGTTTGATGAAGTAGCAATGTTTCTAAATGGTGTGCTAGCCATCCCACCACATAGGTCATCAAAAAGATTAAAAATATAATAATTTTCGATAATTACCTTTGAATGTTTTTTTTAGCTCAGGTCTACTTAAAGCAGTGTAGTTGTGTTCCATTAACACTAATGATGACAATGATGTATGGTGGCCTGAAAAAAAAAATTGCATTCCAGTACAGTTGAAATCAATGTAAGATGAGTTTGAATGGATATTTGATGTCTTTATATTACAAGATATAATTTTAAATCGGGTTGGTTCTTCCTTTTTTTGATTACAAACAAATAAATTAATCTTTCCTATTTATAATAATAAGTCAACATACCTGATGTACTAGGAGCAGTAAACAAGTTGGTAGCCAGAATTGGTTGTTTGTCAGTTTGAGAATGACTAATATCACAAAGAGCAATTGGTTCTTCTGAAATACAATAATCAATGGTTATTTAAGAAATACCAAGTCATACATATAATATTGACAAAACCAAAATAGAATGCAAATATCAAATAACATAATCCTTAATTAAAGATTATCATATTTTTCATGTTTACATGTATTTTATTGATAACAAACCTGATTGATTAGAAATAGGCATCGAAACATCAGCAATAGTTGGACTATCCACTGATTTTTCCTGAGTATTTGATGAACCTGTAATTAAAACGAAACAATCTCATATTTATTTTCATCTTTACTAATATTATAAAGAAGAAAGATTTGATTGGTTGTTTGCTTGCAACAAATAGGTTCCGAAAGGACTGGACTGATTTAAAAAATATATATTATAAGTATAGTTAATATAGTTAGTATCGTTATAAAAGTACAGTTAATGCTTGTAATAAATAAAAATAAATAAAATATATATTTGTCGTACTACATTTGAAAGATATTGTATTCAGTTGGATTTCAACTATATAATGTGAACAATATAATGAAACATGTTGCGACTTACCAGGTAAATAAAGGCAGGGAACTGCAATAGCACTTAAACGATGACAACTGGTTTTATGTTTATCTTTGAAGTGAATATCACATATTCTCTTCTTTTTGTAATATTCATAGTCAGCTGGAGTTTCAAGATTTCCTCCTACAATATGAACCCATTCTCGAAAACATTCAGGAAATTTGGTTGGATTTGGGAAAATGTGTACTATTGTACCTGTAAAATAATAAAGAGGAATATTCACTAAAATGACCGTTGTTGAGTTTGTTAAAGTTTTAGTAGTGATTAGCTTGAGGAGCTGTGTTTCGGAAGGTACATTAAGCAGTTAGTTTAGGCTGCATCTGCGGTTATTAAAACCCATCAATCTGCACTAAGGTTGCCGGGTCATCTAACCTAATATCTGGATAGACCATCCAGTTTGGTTTTATACTTATATAATAGAGAAAAAAAAGAAATCGCAATTTACTTATGGCATATACATGCCTTATATAATTCATTATGTTTTAAATGCATGCATTCAAATACCCTAAATAAGACCAGCTTTATTTGGACACCTGGCAACGCAAGTTATGACCTCATTCCATAGGGAAACCACAGGAGTGGGGACATTAATAGACTGATATTGATGATAAGCTTAAAGAACAAATAAACAATTTTTTATGAAAACAGACCTGTCCCATATCCTCGACCACAAATCACACAACTTTGGCCCGGCATATTGTTGTTAATTTTGATAACACTTAAATATTAGCGTCTGTATCGCAATCACGGTTTCACTAACTTTTAGGACGGAGGAGAATAAGACTCAACTCAACGTCTGTTCGCAGTTTAGGAAACGAAAACACACAAAATTGATTAAAACCCGACAAGCGTGTACGCAAGCGATGAAGAGCAATTTCAAAAAAAAGTGTACCCTGCTATAAAATTGGATTTTATTTTTTAGAGTTTTATTTTTTAATTTGTCTTTTAATATTAGGAAGTTAATATTGTTTATTATACAGAAAAATAAAAAAAAACGCGGAATTCTAGGCATTTTCCTGATAATATCGAAACAAAACGGATTTTGTGGCGGAACTGGTTCGATTGTGTGACTAGATTTAAAAGCAAATTTAAAGGAAAGGATGCAATTAATAAAGCTTTTTTTTATTTATTTAAACTAAATATACATGTAATTCATATATTAATCAGTGAAATTATCCGTAACTTCAACGATTAACACAAAATGATTAATTTTTACTCGGTTTTGTGACTCTGCCGCCTTTTACTTGGTGACTTTTTAATTTTACTCCAATAACATAAAATTTTACTTAATATGTGTACCTTTTGCGTAAAGTAATACATTTAATGAAAACATATTTGTAGCCGAACCTATTTTAAAATAAAATAATAATGTGATATCCTTGATTTAACTTTATCCACTTAAAGAGACAGTGACAAATTGGAAGTCACAAAAATATAAAGCTGTGTTCACTTGAATTATAAATTTCCTAAATTGCTTGAACCCTGCTCCCGACAACCGTGGATCACTGTTTTTTTTATATTTTTAAGACTAATAAAGGAAATAATACAATTATTTTAAATATTATTATATTTTCACCTTACTACATACAATATAAAAATATTTGAGATCACTATAATATTACTACTATAATATTATACGTACTTATTACAAAATTAAGTAATAAAAGTAGACCTAACGCCGCCGCGTTATTCAAATAAAGTTATATAAAGTCATAACAAATCAAGATCAAAATTAGAAAACAAGACAATAATATTCCTTTTGTGTCAATTAAAGAGTAAGTATTCATTCATACATAATCACAAATATCACAAACTAAAAACGAAACCTTAGAAAATCAATGAGCAATATAATTAACATAATACTTATCTAAAAACTGAAACTCTGAATTTAATTTAAGCATTATGAAAAACAGTAAGACTGATGTTTCTACTGTTTTTCATAATGCTTGATTAAATTGCACCTTTTAGTTATCATCGAGTTTCAGTTTTTAGATAATTATTATATATATTAATTATATTTTTATGATATGATAATAATAAGTATAGGTAATAATAGCCTCATCAAAAAACCTTAAAATATAATAATATTATTGAGGTAATGTACGTAAGTAACTTAATGACTTGAATTTTACTTTGGTAAAGAATTTAAAAATATTTTTAGACCATAACCCACTTTTAAGTATGTATTTAATTTGCACATAAAATACACTCATCAGTGGTGTAATGATCATATACGGAGTAATGACAATAATTACACCAAAAATATGAACTAAGTAATATTTTTTTTACATGTATGCGAGTCATTATCACAGAAAAGTGTCCAATTCTTGAAGATCGGTTTACGTATTGACCGCACTCATAGCAATATTCATTGATAATAAAATGTGTCTCGGTCCAAGGCCATTTTAGGTCATAAATGTAGAAGTCCATAAAATCGTCGAAGTTGAGCACCTTATCTATATCAGCGTAAATTACCATGTTGACGTTCTGTTATCCTCGTAAATCAGAATTTTAATCTGAAAGAAAAACACTATTGTTAATTTAGTACATAAACAAGAACTATAAAAATAATTACGTATAGAATTACACCAGCTAGACTACCTCCTTCCAAGCATATGTCACAAAGATAATCCCATTTTTGAGGACCGGCGGTGCATTCCTCACAGTAATTTTTCTTACATGACATGCAATTTGCTTTCCGACCTACAACCGAAGCTTTACATTTTTGGCATATAGTAAAAGTCTTTTTTATGGTTTTATTTTCTTTTCCAGGTGTTTGTCTGACTGTGCTCTTGGGTACCGGTGCAAAAATAATTGGCATAACATTAATATCCATAAGCTCTACAGGTCCTTCTGAATTGTTTATATTAACATCAAGACTTTTCAGAGATTCCATATCTGAAATATCAAATGTCCCTACTAAATCTGGCAAAGCCGAGTCCAGCGAGCCACCTTCTAATGAGTCTATGATTCCTTTATGTTTAATTTGATTGTTGACATGCTGTAATGAAATGTCATCAAATACTTGGCATTCGGGTTGTGCTAGTTCAGGTGGTTTTGCCAAAGATTGTACTCGCTGGATTCTGTCACCACCTCTGTTAGTTTTGGAAACGACTGAGTGGATTTGCGGCTGAAAGCAGGCGCAGCGTCCTCGAAGAGGTTCACAAAAGCAGCTGACATCTCTGAATTTTATAATATTTTCATCGTGGGTCATAATTTGATGTACTTGCAGGGTTCCTTTTAATGGTTGTATATTTCTAGGCAAAATATGAGTTATGGCAGTTATGGCACTGTCTGGAACTAGAAAAACCTTCGTGACCTTGAGGCATTGTTTCAAAATATCATAGGCATCCTTGGCATCAGTGACGTCAACTCCTTGGCAAACCTTTCTGTCCAAAGTGCGCTTGACGCTGCCCCCGATTCCGTCAGCCACACTTTTACCATGGCCTGACTCAAAAAAAGACCAAGTAGCAAAATTGAGTTGCAGTTTTTTAGCAAAGTAGGCAAACAAAAAAAGTTATTCTTTTGTCTGTATTGAGAAGACGGTCCATCAGTAAAAAAATGTATGACATCTAGATTTGGAGTTTCTTCTTTAATTAATTGAATGATTGGAGTCAAATGAGCCCAGATAGCTGGAGGTTGATGATTATTACTTTCAGCAAGGGTACAAAATGATTGTGATTTGTTATGCCAATATACCATGCCAGTATGCAAAGTTATCTGGTGTTTTGACGCCCCGAAGTGCATAGCTTGTATTTCACTGGCTAACTTAGCTTCATAACTTTCGGAGAAATCACAGACCAAAACTACTTCGTTGTCTTTTAATTGTGAAATGGCTTTCCGATATTGGCTTTGCTGTTGTTGCATGTTATAGTAATGTTTTTTGAAATTATGCAGTTCTTCATTAAAAAATTTTTTCAGATCCTCTAATGTCCCTGATTTAGTTATCTTTTTAGTCCTTTTTGTTTTAATTTCTTTGGTTTCAATTCCTTCTTTTTTTGAATAGGTGTGATCTTGACGTTCCCAACGAAGCCAGGATACAATATTAGAATCGTCCGTTTTACTGTTTTCAGAACTCTCGAAATTCAGTTTTTTATCTTTGCATGATTCACATTTGTCATACATACAAGTATAGCTTTTTGTGTCACAAGCTACGTTACTCAAAACCTGTCTCATTCCCATCTTCAGCGCTCCACATCGTCTTATAGCAGAATGTAGAAATTCTAGGTTACTATGTTTGATGCAAAGACATGTGTCTCTTGCATTAAGGTGAGGTGATAACACATAAAATGGTTTATGATTGAAGAAAGACGTTAAGCCATATCGCCCACCGCCATCTTTATATTTTTTGTAGCTTTCGACCAGCGTATCCATCAGGTACCTTATCTGCTTTTTCTCTTTGTGTTGTGTCCTTGTTTCTTTTCTCCCTGATGTAATCCGACTCACGTCATCTCGTAGATAAAATTGTGTTATTTCATAAACATTTATTTGATTTCTTTTCCTTTTTTGTACCCTTGCTTTGCCAATCAATCCCAGCATTTTAGTAACGACCGTTTTGTTTGTTGAATTGTCTACTATTTTTTTAAGAATCTTTTTATCATTTTGAGATTTAGTACCTCGATATGTTTTTTGCAATGTCGATTCTAACACTTCTTCTCTAGCACGCATTTTAGTAATTGTTAGATTCAAGTCATTAATTTCCTTCATATCTTTAATTTTAAGGCGATACAGACGTTTCTTGTATTTTTCTTTTTGTGTTTTCAGTTTATCTGTACATTGTTGGAGATATCGGCACTTTTTTAGTAAAAATCGACACTTTCGCCGGAATCTGTTTAAAGTTATTAAATCTGAACCATCAATGGGGTTTTCTGGCTCATTTGTACATTTGGTTATACTTTTTATCTTTTTTATCTTAGCACAATTTTTTCTTTTTTCTTCACGCCATTTTTTTCTTTGCAACTCGGCTTCTTCTGATGACATCTCTGTAATTTTTTTTTTTTCGATTTCAGTCGATCTAAGTTTCTTTTGCATTGAGCAGCATATTCATCCGGGCGTTCATTTTTTAATTTTTCTCTGTATCTTCTAGTTTTCTCCGCGCCAGTAAGCGGCATTGTAATACCTAAAAGTGTTAAATATTACTACAAGTTCTATAAGGTCTTCTTCTTTTCTCATCATGAAGCCCTGTCCTATCTAGGCTTTGTTTGAGAATTGTAGTTGTAGTCAGATAAATTGTCAACAATAATCAGGGAGTCTTGCATTATTTACAATACCTAACTATTTTTTGCTTGGAAGTGAGGAAAAACTTTATGACTATACCTACTATGTCATGAAATAACACATTATTTTAATGATAATAATTTGAATATAAAACAGTGTCATCGTAGCTGTAGTCGTAAGTAGTTTCTAAAACAAGAGAGCGATGTTCAAATACTTGGTACCCCTAAATAAGCCGAAAGTAACTTTTAGAATTTATAACAGAGCCAAACATAACCTCATTTTATGTATATGTAAACAGCTTAGGACAATTTGAATTTATATAGGTAATAAATACACTTTACGAGCAAGTGCTGCTTAGGTACCTAGTTGCCTACAAGGTTCGTATTATCAACTTACTAAGATACGCGGGTCTCATTATAATGCAATAATACCTATAGTATTATCTTTAGGAACAAAATACTTATTTTAAGTTAAGAAAATCTTACCTAATGTTCAACTGTCTTCAGCAAACTTCAATCTGTAAAATTGAGATATAAAACTTAAATAATTTCAAATTTTAGTAGTAGGTACATTCATTTGGTCATGAGTCATTTCGGATTCGCAATATGAATTAAGCTTTATGCATTCCGACCTGTTGTGACTTGGCGTTCCGTTATATGTGACCGTAGTATAAATCACACAATGGAGGTCACATAATGCTACCTTCTTATAGTTTTAAATCGTTTAAAAATTACTCATCGTACATAGCACTATTAATTTTTTAGTATCAAATACTATATATAAATCTTACAATGTATCAACAATAACAATAATTAAAGAAAAGTGATTTACAATAGTAAAACTTGGTCACATACCTGAGCGAAGAAATTGAAACACTGAACACTTCAACAATACGTCCGCGCTGGTCACAATAAGTATTAATACTGAAAGCAAAATGGCGTCTCTCGATGAAAGACGATTGTTGTGTTGCCATTTCGTGCCGAATACTTTCCTCGATTAAAACGATTTTTTGCAAAAACGAGCGGTCACAATACGGAATGTTCCGGTAGGCTAATATTTTGGACTTTATTTTATATTTATTCTTAAAATAAAATATGTAACAAACAATATTATTGAAACTTGTAAGTGATAAATTGACTTTAATGAATTCAAATTATATTTATAAACCACTCCCAATGCGCGACTTTTTAAAAAAATCAAATGTTTTCTGACTCTAGTTGGAAAGGGGACAGCTAAATTTGATGGTCTTCAATATTAAAAAAAAATCATAAGTTTTATATTTAGTAAATTAAGAACAAAAAGACAATTTAAAGATGTATTTAAATATACTATAGTTTCACTAAAAATCAATATATTATGCTAGAAGCCATTCATCATATAAAAATAAATTAACAAAGTCGAGGGACAAGGCAAAAACCGGTGGTACATTTTTCTTTGAAATTGCTCTGAATATAAACAATTTTGTGACGCCATTTTGTTTTGACATCTTTGACAGCGTGTGTTCATATCTGTTATTTTTCAAATATTTCTTATATAAAAAGAATCTAATGTATTTTAAATTTTGCTTTAAAAAAATATTCTAGAAAATGTACAAATAATAATAATGAAAAATAATTTATTTTTAATTTATTATCTGTAGAAAATATTCAGTGAGTAGTAGCGACATCTAGTGAAATTTTGAGAAATTGTGACGAAACATTTCGGGATCAGGGCGCAAGATGACTCTGCCTTCTTTAAAGAATTTTTCAATGTTCTAAGTGTCATACCCCTGGTCTTGACGGCTACTGAGTTGGTTCGGGAGTTCGAAGCGATCCGATGATAAACGTGAAAGAGATAGAGATATTTCGCCGCGGTATACGTCTATTTTACGTAGATTGGGTTTCTAGGGTTAAGAGGGAAATGAGTAATTAACTCACTCTCAGGCAACTGCAAACGATCACTCATATCGCGACTTCTACGCCTCTCTTTTCTCAATAGATTTCTATTTCTTCTTCAGCAAATTCCATTAAATAAGGCCTCGCCATCAGATCCGTATCTTGTCGGATTTCAAACAAAGAAACTCCGTAAATCAAACAATATTATCTTGTAAAGTCAATACGAAATTATTGACACACAATACCAATTTAACATTATCGGAATATGGAAACGTTTGTCAAAATAATCTACGGTGTACAACGGTCCCGTGACATCATCTTAGATGGACACTCGATTTAGCCAATAACAAATTCGAAGTATGACAGGTATTTGATGTCAACTTTGCCAGTGGCTATCATAATTAGTTGTCAACAAAGTTACGCAATAACCCTAAAGAACCTCTTGAGGTTGCAGCACCTTAAGTGCGGTGTACTCTGCCACAGAGGACGTCATTTGGGTTTGATTTTATATAAATATCTTCAATGTCCCGTTACGGCCGGTCTCAATAACTTACTAACCTTAAACAATCTGTTAAATTAGCTACCATAAGTAACTGTAACTGCAAGTTTGCGTTTCAATAAAGTAAGATAGATCGGAATTTATATCTTTAACTTTGAATGCCAACCGCTTACCACAGATAAATAGAACCATAGAAAAAAAAACGTAGAGCGTTTCAATAACGTTCTGGCAGTTAACTTTAGTTTGTTTGAAATACCATCTGTCAAAAATTTTGTATCTCTCGAATTCGAGGGATATCAAGGGATATGTAAAAGATTAACTTCATATTTTATTAATAATAATGGCTTTGTTTAGTGATGAAAGTGATAATGAGATGTATGAGGCCGGTATATTTGATTCTGCAATAAATACGGAACCTGTAGAATGCAGAGAGTATAATCGCATTTATTATTATAAAGAATTTTCAGACGTTGAATTTACATTCAGGTTTAGGTTAAATAAAAGTAGTGTTGATGAATTATTAATAAAAATATTACCATCTTTGAGAGTAACATCGTCCCGGTGAGTAAAAAGTTTATATTAACATGTATAGGTTATACTATTATTGGTAGTCCTATGCGCATACCTAACGATTTTATATGAACTCTAGTAGATATTTTGGTATACATAAAATAAAAATAAATCACATATTTCAGAAATTGTGGTGTATCACCCCTTCATCAGTTGTTGCTGACCCTTCGATTTTATGCATTGGGCACAATGCTTGTATCCGTTGCGGACTTCATTGGGGTCTCAAAAGCTACCGCTAGCAGGATTGTGGTCGATGTATCTCGTGCAATAGCTGGACTATACCCTGAATATGTTAAAGTATTAGAAAACACCCAGCATGCCTTTCATGCCATTGCAGGATTTCCAAAAGTTCTTGGTGCAATTGATTGTACACATATACCCATACAGTCGCCTGGTTAGTAAAATCGTTTACTGTTATTAATTCTCACTTTTTTACTTAAATCTAATAAAAACTAAGAATAATTTTGTTTTAGATTCAAATGTAGGAGAAGAGTACAGGAATAGAAAAGGTATATTCACAATCAATGTCCAAGGAGTCTGTAATGCAGACTTGATATTTATGAATGTAGTTGCTCGGTGGCCAGGGTCTGCTCATGATGCCACAATATTTAATAACTCTATTTTTAAAAGTAAGTAGAAATTAAATTATTTCATATTATTCAATTTTTTACAAAGAATCCTCACTTATTTGCTTTACTTCTAGTGCAATGTGAAGATGGCATCTTTGGAAATAGGTGGCTTATTGGTGACAGTGCTTATCCATGTACTTCATACCTATTAACACCACTACTTAATCCAGTAACTATGACAGAAAATCGTTATAATGAAGCACATTGTTGGCGACAGCCACTAAGCACAAGCCACCTACCTATAAAACCTTATTATTTTGATGTTCTTTATGGTTTTTTTAAATATTGTATTTTTTATAGATTTTGTTTTGTTATTATATGTAGGTTATTATTTGTTATTATATTGTACAGTCGAGGCATGCAAGTTCCAACGACATCATACTTTGCTTCATAAAGTCAACGACAATAATTATAATATTGAAGTTGAAGCAGGGAGTAGTTCGTTGGAGCCCGCACCTCCTGCCACTATCTATACGCCACCCGACTGTCTTCATGATGAGGACGTTCAGAACATAGCCCATGTCGCCGATCAATGTCCTCACTCCTTTTAACCTCTCCTTAAGGTAATAGCGGTTAGTTTGACTGGATCCAAAGGTAGTTTTGACACGTGGGTCTTACTAGACGATGGGTCTACCGCTACCTTCATAGACTCTGAGGTCTCTCAAAAGATAGGAGCTACTGGTCCGAAATCTCAAGTGCACGTTAAATGTGTAGGAGGTTTGAACAAACTCTCTACGGTCGAATTCGTAGATTTTACGATAAGGGGTCGAACCAGTGATAACGCGCAGTTAGTTCGTGGAGCACGTTCGAAGTGATTTAAATTATAATCATTTGAGGGATCTTACTGATGTTTTATGTTTTGAAAATGTTCAACCAACAGTTATCTTAGGTGTTGATAATTGGCATTTGACCCTACCTTTGGAAGTTCGTAAGGGCACTAGGACTCAACCAGTAGCGTGCCGAACTGTTTTAGGGTGGGTAGTTTTTGGTTTTCATTCAAGTAAGTCAACTCCTGTACATTTTGTTAGTGACGTCTTATGTATAGAGGAGCACGAAAGTTTAGTTTGCAAGGAACAAGAAAGTACAAATTTAGATATTTTAGTTAACCCTTAATTTGGCACCGATAAAAATATTCAAAATATATGAATTTGACAATTTTGTGGTTTCAGGAGTATGTCATAAAGTTCTAGAAAAATGAAAAAAAAAATCTACAATAGCCCACTGCTGGGAAAACTGGTGTACGTCACAGCGGACCTTGCCAATTACTGTGAAATTAATGGTCAGATTTATATGTTCTCTGAGGCGGACACTGCCAAACTACGGAAAATAAAAACAAACAGTTATTTTTTATTTTTACAAAGTATTTTAGTTATTTTTACAAAGAAAAATACAGAAATGAACATTTTAGAACTAATTGATACCGAAGTACAGTTTATTTTGTATGAAAAGTTAAAAAACAATTTCTGGGGGCTTTTCCTGTCACGAAACATAATCTTGTGTTGCATTTTATGCAATACACGGCAGTTTTCTTTTGGCAGAACCTGCAGCGTCCTTCTTTCATGGTCGAAGGGAAATGTCCTATATTGTCGTATTTTAATGGACTCAAAGGGCGGGGTGCATGCGGTTTCTTTACTTTGACGGATTCAGTCTGTTTTCTTGTAGCCGACCTGTTTGCCTTGCACAATCATGCAATTCAGTTTCCGAATCTGATATTTCGCTAGCATCGGAAGGTGCATGTTCATTCGGCACTAAAGCAATTTTACTTGCGCAATTAGGCTGTTGGCAAAGAAAAAAAAAACAAACTCAGAGCCATAACCAAACAAGCAGAAGCACACACATTTTGGCGTTGTCCGCCGCAGCGGACAAAGTAATAAAGTATTACTTTTCTATACAATTAGCAATGTCCGCTGTGACGGACAAAACATTTTAGTTACAAATAAACACCATAAAAATGTAATAAAGTGCGCATGTTTCTGTAAATAATTATTGAAATGTTTATTACCAATAAATAAATCTATAACTCAATTCATTTTTCCACAAAAAATAAGAAAAACAATTATAAATATCTTGAGCAAAAAAGGTGGCCGCCTTTTCGCAGACATTTTGGGTCCCAACTGACATATGCAATGTTGCCACAATTATTACTTCTTTTTTACTATTTGTTTATGGTATAAATAAACATTTAAATGATTAGAAATCGATGAACATGAAATAAAAACTTGGCAGGATTTATTTTAAATAAGTGTCCGTCACACCGGACTTTATCAAATTAACGGTTAAAGATTATTTTAAATTGGATTCTGTGGGAATTTCTAACAAAGATAATATGGCTTCTACTGATAAACGAGCTATAAAGATATTAAATGAGACCACTAGTCGCCTCGAATCTGGTAGATTTGAGACTGGTCTGTTATGGCGGGAAGATAACATTAACCCTCCAAATAATTATACTATCGCGTTGTCTAGATTCAAACTTTTAGAACGAAAATTCCAAAAAGATCCAACTTATGCTCAAACGTACAAATCTCACATTCAGTCTGTAATAAATAATGTAATAAATAATGTTATGCTGAGTTGTGCGTCGAACCGCCGCAGGGGGTTACTTGGTATTTACCCCACTATTAAATATTTAATGACTAATCAAGGACTTCTTTTTCAGATATCATGTGTATACTACTTCAATAGTCATAATTATATGCTACTTGAAATTGTAAAAACTAAATATATCAAATGATTTTTGAGTGAAATATGCATTAAGAAGAATAACCAATATTACCTTATTAAGTAATATTATTTATACTACTTCAATTGTCATAATTATATGTTACTTGAAATTATAAAAACTGAATATATCAAATGATTTTTGAGTGAAATATGCATTAAGAAGAATACCTAATATTACCTTATTAAGTAATATTATTTATGATATATGTATTAATAAAAAACAAGGGTCATTTGTATAGTTTTTTTTTATTTAATACACACACACACACACATAAAATACTAAAATAATAATTATTAACACTATTGCTTAATCTATTTTGTTTTTTAATTGCCCTAATTCTAACTCTAATTTTAATCATTCTAATTCTAACTTTTTATTTTCTAAATCTAATTTTTTAGTCTCTAGTGCTACTTTCTTAACCTTTGCTTGGAAATATGCTGCTAACGCCAAGTAACTAACTTCCTCAGAAAGTTTCTTTCGTTTGTTTACTGTAAAATAAAATTGTTATGTGTTATTTCAATATAATACATAATACTTCACCACATACACTATTACAAATTATGAAATCCGAACCCATTACACATTGTGAGAAATTAACTATAATAAAAATAAACATTACATTTAAGTATTAAAATTCCTTCACCACTTTGCTGAAAAAAAATAAAATGTAACTAGGAAATCCAAAAACATTGGAGATAGAGAAATTTTTATATTTAAATGATATTTATATGAATATACCTACACCATTTCATAATAATGCAAATTTGTAAATAAGAAACCTGAACCCATTATTGAGAGAAATTACATAACTGACTAATGAGTTATTTTAAATTATTTTGTACCTATATATTGGCGAATAGAGTTTAAAAATATGTAACTTACAGCCTTTACTTGGCGTATTGAAAATAAATTTCTTGGGTGTTAAATATGCCTCACTTCCACCACCTGCCTCTAAACTACCATCAGCACCCAATACCACAACAGTACTGTCCTGAGGGAGTTCTGGTAGTGGCTGCAAGTCTTGGACTTCCACAACAGCTTCTGACAGGGCAACAGATTCATTCTCACCATCGCCACCGAACACCACAGATAAGCCTGTACATGTAGCACCTAAAATAGATGCTACACGTTCCAAAACTTCATCTGGGGGAGTGAAGGCCTTCCCACCTCCTGTCTGTAAATTTAAAATAAAGTTTAGGGCAACCAAAATTAAATATCTGATTTTAACATCCAGAATTTTAATATGTACCTTAAGGTTGTTTTGTCTAATTAATGCACTACGCTTTCTTGCAGCTTTTTTCAAATTCTCCCATTTTAGACGTAGTTGCTCAGGACGCCGTATTTCTCCCGTCAAAGCGCTAAGCTCCTGCGCAATCGATTTTCAAGCTTCCTCTTTCAACTTGTTGTTGGTGGCATTTGTCGATTTTGAGGTGATTACATTGTGCTTGGAAATCATATCAAGCAGGAGAACTATACTGTCCTTTGTCAGCGCCTTCGCCCTTATCTGAAAATAAATTATATTTTACGCGCGAACGACAAGAAAGAAACAAACAAAACTTCTAGTGTTTTTCAAACATATTCAATGAAATAGTTATAAGTAATACTTACTAGATCAGCCATCTTCTGTGACGTATGTTAATTATTATTGTTTATAAATTAAATAATTGATAATAAAGTGAAACTCATATGTAATGAAACAAACAAAACAAAGAGCGTCAAAACGAGAGCGTCTATCGTTCGTCAGTCAGCTCATCTGGCAAACAGATGTCAATTTGCGTTTTATTGCTTCGAGTTCTTAAATATTATATCATTATTTTACTAAAAATATACCTCTTTATGAATAATATTAAAAAGAGATGTTTTAAAAAAGTAGAGTATTATTAATACTAATAGCCTTATATTAAAAATAATTATAAATTTCATAATGTTAACTAGTGAGCCGGTTTGTTAAGATGCAAAAACAGAACGCTTGGGAGGGATACGTTAACCAAAGATATCGGACTTATCCGTGCTTAACTAAAGTAATCGTTGCTATACTTTTGTTATTGAAAAGACGGTAACAGATAGATTAGATGTTTCTAAAAAACTCTGGTAGCTATCCAAGTTTTACTTTTGGTAGGTTATTGAGACCGGCCGTTAGTGTTAAAATACTATCTATAGTTAATTACATACTCAGCTTGTTTGGACGTGTTGCATTGCATACAATGCATAAGCATAATATAATGGTAAATTAATATTATCATTGTCAAATAATTAACTTATTACTATAACTTAATAATATAATTAAATCAGTGTTGTTTATATTTACTTGTCATGTCAAAATCTTTTCCGCTACAGATCTTATATGAGATTCTCTGTCAGTATTTTTGTTTAACATGTAAGTTCTTATACGATATAAAGATCTTCCACAACGTATATGTTACCGGCCAAACTTAATTTTAGGCCAAACTAGTTTTGCCTAGGCTAAACTAGTTCATCCTATATGCCAGCGGTCGGCAACCTTTTGGTAAGCAAGGGCCACAAGGTAGCAAAATAAAATTTATGCCAGCTAATACTTTATCTGTATACCAAATTTAATCAAAATCCGTTCAGTAGTTTCGGCGTGATGGACAGACAAACATCCAAACAAAGAAACTGTCACATTTATAATATTAATAGGATAATATTTTCCGTGGTAGATGAATCGAAACACAGAAAACCATAGATTTATAACAAACCGTCATTGTATGGTCCGAATAGCATTGGGGTAATGTAGAAAACTATCATTGTAGGGCCAGAATCGCAAAGGGATAACTTATTGAAAATATTTATCAGCCTCGCAATTTTTATTCTGACTTTATTTTAAGACTTAATTACACGATATGATATAAGTAAAAGCTATGTTTTGAGATATGTCAACATGATTCTTTCAGTGTGATGTTTGAGGTTGCTATTTCTTGTATGTTAGCCGTCATATTTGTTGTTGCTATTCTTAGAATAGCTCTCAAACGCTCATCTGTTAGACGAGAAGCATATTTATTTGTCCTATAATTCACAATTGAAAACGTTTGTTCACATAAATAAGTGCTACCAAAAATTGTTATTATCTGCTGAGCAAACCTTTTCAATTCATCAAAATCAGATGGCAAGCTGCCATAAAATTTAATAAGATCATTGATTTCCCTGAATGAGTTTTTGAGAGAATCATTAGATTGGAGATCAATCATGTTCATTTGTAAATGACTTGGTACTTCCTCAATATCACACGAAAAAGGGTTTGCAAAAATCTTCAGTTTCAAATCAAATCAAGTTCAAATCACTAAATCTGTAGTTGAATTGAGTTTTTTCCTTCATTTTATCACGTTTCCAATGAAAATTAATTCCAGCTTCTTCAACAGCCTTTTTACAATTCGGAAAATGATCCAACTTTTCTTCATCAATATGTTTTATAAAGAGTTTTATTTTCATTTGAAATGCCTTTTCGTCTGTGCGCATATCAGAGATTAGTTTTTTTTTACCTTGAAGCTTTACATTCAGCGTATTTAACTCCTGAGTTACATCTGTCAAAAATCCAAAGATCTATTAACCATTAAGTATCTGTTAGCTCTGGAATAAATTTGCCTTGTTCATTCATAAAAGTGTTGATTTCTTTTCTGAGATCAAAAAATCTTTTCAGTACTTCTCCTCTACTTAACCATCTCACTTCAGAATAATAAAAAACATCTCGATAATCTGCTTCCATATCTAACAGAAACTGCTGGAATTGCCGATGAGTCAATCCATTTTTTCTGATATAGTTTACAGTCGATACCACAATGTTCATTACTTCTTTCCATGATAGGACTTTGGAACACAACGCTTCTTGGTGGATAATGCAATGAAAAAATAACGGGATGGTACACCCTATCCCTGCCAGTTTCGTCTTAATTCTACCGATTAAACCCTTATTTTGTCCACTCATGTTCCTTCCTCCGTCAGTTGTTACACTTACCAATTTTTCCCATGGTAACTGCATTGAAACTAGCGCTTGTTCTAAGTTACAAAACAAATCTTCCCCTGTTGTCGTTCCTTTCAAGCTACATAACTGTAAAAGCTCCTTATAGACATTAAAGTTCTTATCGATTCCGCGAACAAATACTAAAAGCTGGGCAGTATCTGAAACGTCATTACTTTCATCGGTAGCCAAAGAGAACCACTGAAATTGTTGTGCTTTTTCCCGGAGTTGCTGACATAAATTATCGCCCAAATCTTCAGTTCGCCGGGTACACGTTCTTGCAGAAAGACTTATATTTTCAAATTAATTTTATTGGTCGAGACACACCTCCTAAGCCATAACCAAGACACACTGTTTTATAAGTTCGCTGTCGGTAAACGGTCGACCTGACTTCGCCAGAATTTCCGCTACCCTTAAACTTGCACGTATACTTGACTCGTTACTTTGAACTTAAACCTTATAAATATTTTGTTGATTCCTAACTGAACATTTGAGTGCGTTAATTTTAATTTTCCGTGATTCACCCATTAGGCATGCAAATTTAGCTTTATGCTCAGTATCGTAATGGCGTTTTACAGTGTATTCTTTTTGTATAGCAAGAGTTTTTTGACATATTAAGTATAGCTGTTTGCCATTGCAATTAATAAAAAAGTATAAGTCTGTCCATGCATCGTTAAATACCCTATTTTCTCCTAATAACTTCCATTTTTTTGAAGCCATTGGTATTTATAACAATAAATGCATTGTCTTGTAGTAAACATACATCTTGTAACAGCATAAACTGCCAAAGCGAAGCGGCACGTTAACAACAAGCAGTCGATACCCATTGCAGCTTGTATACACATGAACATGAACATGTACACACTTACATAGATCGTAACCTTATATAAGTGTAAAATAAAAAGAATATACTCACACTTACCGAAATTAAAACAAAAAGTAATTCGTACAGTACAGATGAATTAACTTGTTTGACTAATCACGCAGCGAAACGATTCACGAAGCGCGGGAAGGGAACTGTCATGTCATCACTGACGTTCGTTTCTATCCGAGCGCTCCCTTCCCGCGCACAGCCCTCGCGCAGCCCGCGCATCGCTCGTTTGTTCGTTCGCGGCAAAGAGAATATATAACCATAGTATAATTATTATGTTAGTTATGTTCGCGGGCAGAGCGAGGCACGTTCTTAAAACTGGATCCACATTATAGGGCCGATCGCGGTTCGTTCATGTATTTATTACGATATTTAAAACTTATGAACAAAACATACGCAGGCCGCAAGTAAGACGTTCGCGGGCCGCGAGTTGCCGACCGCTGCTATATGCGATCGGATAGACCGGTATAGATAAGCCAAACTGGTCTGTCCTAACTAAGGGCGATAGGAGAAACTAGTTAAACTAAGGAAGAACTGGTTGGGTCTAATATAAATAAGTACACTTCAGGATAAACTAGTTTACCCTAGAAGGAACTTGTTGGGCCTTATATGAATAGATAAGTACACTTCAGGATAAAACAAGTTTGGCCTAGTTTATTCTATACTAATAGGGAATAATAAAATACCAGAAATACGAGTAATTCAATCAAGATGCATTTATTAATTAGATCAAAATCAATTACACTTATTTTTGCATGGTGTAACCTGATGGCATTTAGAATTGCAGAGCACCATTTTTTTTCTTGCATTTGCACCTGTAAATCAAACAGTTTCTTACGCAGCTGCACCTTACAAATATTGCCCTGAACCAACTGAATGTTTGGTGGTTGCAGTCCTCAGAGATATTACAGTATCATGATCAACATCACCTGCGCTCAAAAATTTCTGAATGCAAATATCGAATTCAGTTCTGAAAGAAAAAAAAAACAAATCAAAACTAATATTTTTCAATCACCAGAAAAATATGGTAATATCGATATTGAATTATAAGTATAATTAAAATAAGTAAGTATAATAAAATAGGCTTTAACAATACTATCAAAAAATATATACCTGCAATATAATTTCTGCAATACATCATGTTTGGTGCCCACTTTGTAAAAGGCCCTTATCATTGCTCTGAAGAACAACCCCAATAATGTTTCTGAGATCACCTCTGCTTTTGTCTACGTCAGGAATTTGTACGAGGGTCAAACTGAAAGTTCTTAGAAAATCAAAAACTGATTACATTAGCCAGTTATTAGTTTTATTATATCTTTTCAAAATATTGTCCATTCACGTCAATACACCGCTGCATGCGATGGAACCACTGGGAAAAGCACTTTGCCCACTCGTCCTTAGGGGTCTCTTCAATGGCATCGCGATACGCAGCCACCGCTTCTTCAGCATTCATAAACCGCTTTCCTTTAAGTTTTTCTTTAATTTTTGGAAATAAATAAAAATCACAAGGCGCGAGGTCGGGGCTATACGGCGGGTGACCCAGTAATTCAACGTTTGATGTCGCCAAATAGTCGATCGTTCGCTTGGCGGTGTGCGACGAGGCGTTGTCGTGGTGAAGGAGGATCCTACTGCGAGGTCGTTTCTCTCGAACTTTTTCCAAGACAAGTGGCAAACAATTGGTAGTGTACCATTCTGCAGAAACTGTTTTTTGATCCTCTAACACAATTGTTGCAAAATGACCTATCCTTCCAAAGAACGAGGCCACCATTTTTTTTCCCGCACTTCGATCTCTCTTCACTTTAGTTGGCAACTCCTCGAAAGGAAACACCCACTGAGCAGATTGTCTTTTGGTTTTAGGATCATAACAGTAAATCCAGCTTTCGTCACCTGTTAGTATGTCGAACACAGCATTTGAGTCACCTCCGTTAAATCTTTCAATCATTTTACGACACCAATCCACACGATGGAGTTTTTGAGCCTCAGTCAAATTATGAGGTATCCACCGGGCGCAAAGCTTCCTGACCGCTAAATGTTCGTGGAGGATTTTGTGCACTTGACTCATACCGATGCCTAAGCTTGTCCGAATCTGTTGATAGGTCACTCTTTTGTCAGTCTCTATCATACGCCGCACAACACAGATGTTATCTTCAGTCGTCGCCGTAGAAGGCCGTCCCTCACGTAAATCATCAGTGAGATTAGTGCGACCACGTTTAAACTCATTAAACCAGTTGTAAACAGTCGCACGAGATGGGGCTTCATCGTGAAAGGCCAATCGTAGTCTATCATAACTTTCTTGTTGACTTAAATGACATCGAAAGTCATAAAAAATCATTGCACGAAAATTTTCTCGTGTTAAATTCATGATGACGTGACACAGACAATATTCAATTTGCCGCCAAATCGTAAAACAAATGACAAATGAATGAAATATATACTCAGTAATATTGGCAAAGAGTTATATTTTCAAATTTTAGAATTATTTTTTTATTATATTGTTTATAAGTGGCCAGTTCTAAGAACTTTCAGTTTGACCCTCGTATAGCAACATTGTCTCCAATGTTGGCAGGTGGATGGGATTTGTCGGAAGAAGCTTTAATTTTTTTTTGTTATGTGTATCAATTTCCATAACGCCGCCATCACCATCTTAACTCTGGTTACTATTCGAATCATCTTCGATAACTTTTCTAAGGTCGTCCTCATCCTGAATATCATTTACTATTATTTGCGGCAACGATGAGGTCGAAAGTCCCACTCTAGGCTCAATCCCGAATAAGGCGATTGTTTTAGTCCTGAGTGAAAGGCACGGTTTTTCATAAACTGGACATACCTTAAACCCTCCGACCATTTAGTTGAATTGTTGTCTTTCAACCAAGAACTTATCATGTTCTCTATATCTTGGTTAGCGCGTTCAACGGAACACTGACTTTGACTATGCCTTGGTTTTCTATGCACAATTTTAGTTCTGGCCATAGAGTTGCAAGCTCACTAATCACATTATTGACAAATTCTCTACCATTGTCAGATTGGAGAATGCATGGTGCACCTATAGTTAGAAATATATAATTCAGGTAGTAGGCTACTTCTGCCGCTCTTTCAGATGTTAACGCACGCAGAAGAACAAATTTTGTTAAATGGTCTTGATAAACCATAATAAATTTAAATTGTTCGTCAGGCTGAAAATCGATCAAATCCACCTGACACCTGCTATTCATTTCAGAGTGAAGCATCGGCTTTGCTACTAGTCTTCTCTTTTTTTGTCTTCTTTTGTGATATTAACATATTTTTTTGATGCCTCGGCTAACATTCTGTCTCATCCGCTGGTCCAACCGCCACATGAGCTGCGTCAATCACATCATAAAGCTCATCAG